TGTAGCAATGGAGGGGTGTTTCCAGTAAGAGCTGAGACTCGGAGACTCCCCGGGGTAATGGAATGGGAGGGGGGGAAGGAGAAGGAACGTCTGTGAAAATCCCTAAACAAGCGCCAGTAGACTGGGGTCTCCAGATAGCCCAGCCGGGATTGAGCGTTTCTCCGGGAATTTTGAAATTTATTTCCGAAACACATGTTGCTCAAAAAAAAAAAAAAAAAAAAAAAAAAAAAAAAAACGTTGCAAAGTTATTTATTAAACGATTAGCCTTGAGTGTGAACTAGTTTATAACAAATTGGCTTATAAACTACCAGAAAGGTAAAAATATGTGTGGTGAGTATGATGAATGTACGTCAGGAATTCACTGACATAATGGTAGTACATGTAGCAGTGTCTGAAGCCCACGTTTTATCGTTACAATATTTTTACTCCTCACCATTAAAGGCAAAATCGCAAGAACGTTGTTTAATTCCAATTTGAGTTTTAAGCAAATATTGAAAACGACCCGTGGCACATATCGTTATTTTCTAGTTTTTTCGGTATTTCTGTTTGCACTGAAACGGATGAGGACCAAAAAAGCATGTGGTCCACATTTGTGATCTGTGGATATTTTTTAATTGTTATCAGTGTTGAATAACTCCTCTTATACATAAAAAGCATCTACATGTAGATGCACAAAGAAGAAAGAAACAAAACAAATGCAGCATATTCTTAGTAATTTTCTAATATTCAGCATCTTTTCGTATAGATATATAAACAAAGAATGCAAAAAAGCTTATTTAAGAACTTACTTAAGAGCAATATCTAAATATACAAACAAATACATCAAACAAAGAAAGCATATTGTTTGTCTACATTTCTACCACCATCTTATCCAAATATTTAAGCACATGACTTACATCGAAATCGTCGCTGAAAACCAGTTCTTTTAATTAACGATATCGATGACTATGCAAATACAAACAAGATATGGTGTTATAAAGTATGCGAAGAGATAAAGAAATAAATAAGATGATAGCCTGCACCTGTTGAACCTTTTTTACACACGAATCTCGCCGTGATGACGTCAGAGAGATAGAAGGTCAAAGTTCACGGCTGGTCCGGGGGGAATTTTCTTATGTTGGCGTAGCGCATGGCGTAAACAGAGTGACAGAATGTCACAATGGTAGCTGCTGTTCTTGTACGCGCAGCCTTGAGGTTATGAAGACTTCAAGAGGCGCTTTTTCAACATCCCGATCCTAAGTTCAACGATATGCGCTCTCTCTGTCACGAATTTACCCCATTTCCATTCCTGCTTACGTTTATACATGTATGAAACTGGACAGTGAGAGACGTCATCAGCTGCAAATCGATGCCCCTGGCAGACGAAAAAATAAAGGCCAGGTGCCGAACACTGCATGCAACCCTAGTTTGGTGAGTTGGGAGTTCTTAACACAGCCAACGTCTACTCATTCAATTATCACGGCAAGGATCCTTTATTCAAACACCCTAACATTTTTTCTCAAATAATTTTTGACATTTAAAAGGGTGAAATTACCAGTAACCAGTTAAAACACATGTTTTGTTTTCCACTGCTGTGCCACAGTGCAGGGGCTGCGCATCTTGTCTGCGCATCTTGTCGTCTGCGACTGAGTCCCGCCAAACCAATTTCCGTCGCACACGCAACCTTCAATTCCTTTAAATTCTAATTAATTTTTGCAGTGTTCATATGTGGTTAATTGCGGTTTGTCTCATTTACTATCTTTTCTTAATTCTTTTCTTTTTTCTTTGATTCTTCATCCCATTTCATGTTTTTTCTTTTCTTTTTTCCTTTTACAAATTCATTTTTCTTTCTTCCCTTTTAAAGTTTTCTTTCTTTCCCCTCTTTATTTCACTTTTTCCTCTTTATTTATCTTTCCTTGCAACATTAATTGACCCATAAATGTTCACAAATGGCAAGGAAAAAATGGTCTTACGTGAGTTTCGTCGCGTTTCACTGTCCCAATGTCTCATGTTTTAGATTATTCCACGACCTCACCACAGTTTGGTTCTTGGAGACCTTTTGAATTATTATGGCGCAAAAAGAAAAAAAATAACAATACATGAATTTTTCAGGGGTCCCCAATAATTTTTCAGTAATGTAGATGTCAATTTTTTCTGATACCCATAAATCTACAGTTTTTAACCCGTTTCAAGTTGGTTAGAAACTTGGGTTGCATCAGCTAAAAAAGCAGTTTATATTCTATACTTTCTTTAATAAACTGATAGTATTGAAATTGTTGTTTACCTCCAATATTTCGATGTCTATCTAGATCTATTTCTGATCTCTGTTAAGAAACATTTGAAATAAACAGTTTCAATTCTAGCTACTAATACAACCACTAGCACAAGAAAACATTTCAGATATTTTGGTACAGATAGCGTGTAGTCCTTTGTTACATTCCAGAACAATGCGATAAAGGGCTGAACATCTGCCTTTACACTAGACCAAACACAAATATTAATACTCATTGAAAACACAAAAAGATGTCTTTCTTGACCGGCGCAGCTGCCGTAATGTTCAGTAAAGCTGTTCTTATACCAGCCTATTCCTTTTTTTCTCTTTTTTTCTTCGGAAATTTGGGTATTATGCAAAGAACCGAGTATCACAGACTACATTTGATTGGCAATGCGAAATTAAAATTCGAAACATTGGCATGTTGCTGATACCAAGAGACCAGGAGGAGATGAGGTACAATATAAACAGAACGTGAAATGAAATTTTTGCTCCAATTTTTCATGCAAGTTTATGGTTTACTATGGCAACTCTTCCTTCCTTTCTTCATTCCTTCCTTCAACTTAATATACTGTTGTGTGCCCTTTTCTTAAAACATTTTAATCAATGCACCGCGTTTAACTCTTTTGATGATTGTCTTAAATGAGCATTTGCGTGTGTAGAAATAATATTTGCGTATTGATTAATCTCTCACCTAAGTCAGCTAATAAATAGATTAATTTACTGTGCAATTAAGTTACGACTCGCTTTTTCAGATGATATATCAATTTTGGATAAATATTTAAGATTGATTCTTAAGAGATTTAGTTTTTTTCTTTTTTAAGTTAATTAATTAATTAATTTATTTATTTATTAATTTATTTATCTATTTATTTATTTATTTTTTTTTTAAAAGGAGTGCCAATATATATGCATATGCACATAAAGGAAATGGTGAAAGATTCGTTGTGACAGAAAAGTTTGACGCAAAGATTGTTTCCCGAGCAAAAAAATATTGCTTCATTTAAGTTCCACTTCTCTATGGTAAAACAGTGCAGCTATCTATGTGAAACTCATCACGAAACTTGTGGTAGACTGAAGTCGAACAGGGGGAGAAAAATTCCCGAAAGAATTTTTGTGGACCTGAGAAAATAACGCTGACATTGAGCGCGGCAAAGTCCTTTTTCCGAGATCCTGCAGTGCATTTGTATGTGTGTGTCTGTTCAGAGAACTTGGATTAAGAAATAAAATATCCCCTTCTCGCCCCTTCCACACAAACACACGCACACGCGCAGCTACGCACGCAAACACACACGCGCGTGAAAAATGTTAAGGGTAGGGGTTAGTGTGTTATTCAAATGCAACACTTTTCAGGCCCGTAGCCAGCCATTTCAAAAAGGGGGATTCTTTTTCTGAAAAAGTGGACCTTTTCCCATAAAAAATTCATGCAACTAGATCAAATTTTACCCAGAGTGGACCTTTTCCCAGCAAAATGGGCGGTTCTTTCGAACCCCCCGAACCCCCCCCTGGCTACGGGCCTGCTTTTTGTCAGTTTGGTGGGTCAGCAGCGTAAATAAGAAGAAGAAGGTGATATAGAAGGTAACTCGACGGACAGCTAAATACAGGAGAACATTAAATCAAAATTTAGTTGATCGAAGAAACTATTCGACCACCTGCTGGTTCCACACAGCTGATGAAGTAATATCATAGTACTGCCCTCGTAGATCGCCGCTCTTCTGTTCACCCTGAACGATGATAGAAATATATCTTCTTAAAAAAACAGGAGGCGAGCGTTTGTCCGAAGAGGGAAAAAAATAAGAAATGAGAGACAAATAAGTGACCAATATATGCGGAGTTGTCATCCCTGAAATTATCCAGGTTTTTTTATCGGAATCCACTGTAAAGTTTCAGTTAAGCCACTCTGAGTGGAAAGTTACTGTTTCTGGTTCCCGGTATGTGACATTGAGCACGGCGCGCTATGTACGTGCAATCCAGCATTCGCCATCTCGAGCCATGTTTGAACAGCGAGTTGTTGGAGATACGTGTAGATAGCTCCTTTCGACATGCTGTTAGTAAATACTGCTACACTGAGAGAGTGCTAGCAGAACACGAGTTTGTCAGGTGATTTTTGATTGCGTTAGGTACACGTGTCTTAGTTTAATCTATGTCATCATCTCGAGAATTAAGTGGGTCTCCAGCGCACGTCAAGGGCAAGCGGTCATACTTTGTGTGTTTAAGACTGCATTTGTGTTCAACCTTTAAGGGGACCCGTGGTGAAAATGGGGTCATTCCGTCCACAGCATTTTAAGTAAAGAGACGGCTGTGCGTGTATTCTCATTTTTTATACTCCCGAGCGGCATGTTTATAAACAAACTGTTGATCTGAAATGTTGTTTTCTTTTCAGTGATTTCAAAAAAATTATAAGACGGTCGGCTCGCCTGTATGCAATTTTTCTAACGCAGACCATCATGATCAGATAATCAAATCTATTTGTTTTATGAGGAAATAGGCTATATGTATTAAAATAAACGAACGCTTAAGGAAGGACAATAATCTGGACCCTTAATTCGACTCCCGGAGCCTGATCATGTCCTCAAAATTTTATTAAATCATGTAATAGAATTTAGCCGCAGCCTGGCTCTCCTTATGGTCGAAAAATGAGGGAGGGGCCTTGAAAGTGCTACGTGCGCAAGACAACTTGCCCCTGGTTGCGAAATTCACTTAAGATCAGCGCGTGTTGCGCTGTGCAGACGTAATTTACGTCTATAGAGCCACTGCGGGTAGACTGCTGTTCCTCAGGAAGAGACGCTTAAGTGTTCCTTGTGGGTTTTCTGAGCTAATGCATTCATCATCTACGAAAACGCCAGTAGGGAACGGGCCATCAAGTGGTATATAAATGGCTCGACCAACTGTCGAGGAGTATACCACACTTGTGAGAGAAACTTTAAAGACTACATAGGCCTACACGTGTTTACTCGCGCCATTCCGTACTCTACGAGATCTCAGACTGAAGGAATTGAAATTAACAGAAATTTGAAATTTACTAGAACTGTAATTTACAACAAGTGATATTTATAAGGACTTTTTCCAGAAACAAACTACTGTGAAATTCGCGCAAGAATTAAGAATTTATTGACAAGAGAGGACAGACACCACCCAACGACGACAAGATATTTTTAAACAAGAGATTAGACATATTTAAGAGACAAGAAGATAGACTTTATACCAGAGAGAGTTTACTCAAGAATTATCTAAGTTATTCATCTTCTGATACATTCTGTTTGGAGCCTTTTACTCCGCCTACTGTGATACTGATATAAGGTATGTAGATCTTTCCTACAGCTATTCACTACTTAACCTAACATCTAACCATGGTTTGTGTTTTTACTAATAATTTACCACCAGATACTGGTGCAGCTGTCCCTAAATAATTAACTGTCCTTCTTTATTTCTGTTTTGCAGTTATTTTTCCTGTTTCAATTCTCGTTTAAATGTGCGTTTTTGTTGTTTTGACGTTAATGTTTGGGATATTGAGTTTATTAAGTTTTTTTTTGGGGGGAGGGGTGTTGCCAATTAGATTGTTTGCTTGCTTAATAAAGTTGACTTGAATGACTCTTAAATTCCACCCATGTTTAGCTGTTATTGAAATGTTTTCTTGTTTTTGACTTGTGATTGCCTGACAGCTGTCTCGGACTCTGACAAGTTAACTCGAAAACAGAATTCCACATTTTTTTTTTTTTTTTTTTTTTTAAATTTCTCTAACAACGTCTTGTTTATTACATGAAGCTATTAACCAGAGGCATTTTCACCAATGCTCTTTCACCGTGTCACTGGTGTCCCCTTCTCCCGACCTTCAGCTACACGTTAGAACATTTCAGTCACGTCAAGGTGTTGCATGGGTACAGGAATAGCTCAGCCCACGTGGCGGTATATAGCGTTCCCTCACTGTAGCCTCTACTTTTAACAGACAGCTGGATGACGTATACTGTTTAATGCCAGTTAAACCTTCTCATAGACTAGAATAAAAATTATATTAATAATGTTAGTACATGTATAACGCCCGTTTTGTTGAGTTCCTGTACCTATGTGTTCCCTTATGAAAATGCTCTATGCCATAATATGACTTTATAGGACACTATAAAGAATTCTGTTGAACGTCCTAATGGATTCCTATCTTGTCATATATCCTGTAGGACCCTATAGTGAATTTTCCGTTAGGGCCCAGGTAGTGGTTTAGGGCGACGAGGATATAAAGATGCCTTAATGTCGGTATCACACGAGGTAGATAAAGAGTGGTCTCCAGGCTACTATATAGCGTACAGCGATGTCACCTTGGAGAGGCAGGCACACACACGTCCCGGTGTAACGACACTGGGGGTCCGTGTAACAGAAAGTCCGCCCTTCGTATAGTTATAATGGTTGGGGTTAGTCTGACCTAAGTGGGTCCAAATCTAGGGCGAGGCTTACTGTACAAACGAATGGCAAGTGGATTCACTATCATGGGGGACTCTCTGTCACGTTTCACCGGTACTGTCTCGTGTCCTCAGACCAGGTCAATGACCCCTGGTCAGCGGTCAATCCTCAGGTGGAAGCTATATTAGGAAGAGCATGTGTAGAGAAAAACTTTGCGATAGAGCAATACCCAATCTTATTTGGAGAGCGATTTTTGTTCAATCACCACCTGTGGCACGTTTATTTCCTGTCTGTAACGTACACGTGTGCAGAAGTTCAGTCGGTAACACGTGGCTTTATCTCGTTTGGCTATTCTTTCAGGTGGTGATTATGTACATATTTCAATTAACGATTCTTAGTTTCTTAGAATATTGGAATTAAAGTATACGCATTTCAATCAAAACACTACACACACTTTACCGCGTTCTTTTTTTATTAAGACAACCTGCATACATGTACAATAGCTTAAAATCCCTGCTCACCGTGCTGAAAGAGTTCTCAAGTTAACTGACTCGGCAACATTTATTAATTTATATTTTTTTGGTGAGGGGGTTTGATTTTCCCAATCCTTCAGAAATTGCAAATAAAATAACATTTTTAGTGCTTAGGCAAACACTGCGTGATGATCGAAAATCAAAGTCTTAACTTTATGAAATGTGCAAATATGCACCGACAGTGACACCGACTGGCTTCAGCATATCTTGCTGTTAGGAACTTTACTTAAAGTTAACAAGGAATAAAGCGCAGGCGGTTGCTACCTGTTCTAATTACTTAAAATTGACGTTTCTTAGAATATGGGAAATAAGGCATCCGCATTTCAACCAAAACACTATACACACTTCGCGGAGTTAATTTGACTGAAGACAGCCTGCATACATGTGCAATAGCTTGGAATTTCTGCTACGTGTATATGTTCTGACTCCGCAACTCCTTTCTTGGTTTTCTTTTAATTTTTCCTACTCCTTCACAAATTGCTATAATTCGCGAATTTCGATATGCGCGTAATATATTTCACTTCGATTTCTTAAAACAACAGTTGAACAGCTTAAGCAAATATTGCGTAATGACCGAAAATCAAAGTCTTAATTTTATGAAATGTGCAATTCCGCACCTGGCGATAACGCCCACACCCTTGTCATTAAATTCACTGAAAGTTAATCAAGAACAACGCGCAGGCCGTTGCAACCTGTGAACGCTGCATTGATTTTTACCAAGCTTAATAGACGGGGTATCGTCTGCGCTGAGAGAGGCTCAATCATCGAAACCCCATGCCCCACTTTAACCGCTTCCTCGTATCAGTGTAAAAACAAGACTGAAGTCCCTCAGAAGATGTAATGTTTATCTTCATTAAAGGTGAACCGCTATTTGGCTTTGTTCACCCCACACGTGGCAGACATTAAGATACCGCAGTAAACCATCACTGGGTACCAGAAAAAAGTCTCGCGAGCGCGTGGCTAGTAGGAGGAGTTTGTTTTGGCAGTCTCAGTACTGGCTGCGGCATTTTTTTCTAAATCGACCCGCTCGAAAGGAAGCTTGGGGGAGGCATTACATTCTGAATTCTCATATATTGCTTTCGACTTTAAACTCTTAGATTAAGGCCATTTCCTGAGTTTTCGGAGCTATATGTTTTTTCTACAAGTTTCTTTATGTGGTCTGTAGTGATGTTCATTTCCTAGGTTCGGAATATTGTACGGTTTTTATCTCCATTATCAAATCGACATGTCGTTAGCGAAGCATCTAGTTAAGAAGGGGAAATAAAAGACACTCAAGAATGGACAAAGCAATGTCAAATGCTGTGAGGGTCTTTTTTATGAAAAGGTGGTCTTTAACCGCGCATCCTCGAACTTCAGTGGGGAACTCTTCACTGCAAAAAGGGCGGTTCATTCACCACACCCCACCCCCCACCCCCACCCCCCGCGCCCAGGGCATTACAGCAAAGCGTTTGGTCTCATAAAGAATGGCGTTCCTGATACAGCAGTTATATTGTGTGGTAGTTAGTTTTACATTCACAGAAGCATAAAGAGTATAAAGTACGGATTTAACGTGATTTCCTGTCACCTTGCAGAATGAGCTGTAGAAATAAAGATGCTTTTTCAAACAGACATGTTCAATCAGAAAATAAAAGACAATACCCCGTATTTCAAGACGCTACATGCATTTTTTTTTCGATTTAAAGTACTGTGTTTGGATGCTGTTAGGTTTACACGGATGATGGTATTACTGGATGATGAGAGAGTTACAATCTGCTCGCTGGGTGTGACTCTAGCGTCTTTGGACGACCTCATAACGGAGACACCAGGAAAAAAATTAGCAGATAGGGATATAAGATAACTCAATAGACAAAGTACATCAAACGTCGTATTTTATTCATCAAACTAGTTTCCCTTTCAGAACCAGAACACGTTGACACACCTGTCGATTACCAATTCCAAGGAGGATTCTTGTGAATTTTCACACATATTGAAATTGCGGTTTTTCTTACTACATACATTGTATAATAGGTGATGGCATGGATTAATATGTACAATTACTGAACGTCAGTGAAACACTAGGCATATTGAGTCTGTGTGGTTTCTCTTGGCCTGTTTCTGTTTCATCGACTATGCGAACTATTTGATGCGTGTGAAATATCGCTCCTAGTTTGAATGAATATTATATACACTTTTGCTACTAGTGACCATTGCTACGCGTGTGCATGTATCCCGATCTTTTTCTTTCTTGTCACACGTATTTCAGCATGCTGGGGGAGAGAGTGGCGGAGGAAATAGCCTTTGTACCCCTTTTTACACCCGCCTAGCTTCCCATGTCCTGTATTTGATGTTGGAAGAGGAAGACCTTGGGTGATCTTCTGGTACCTGAGCGCGTGACATTGACCCCACAGCGGGTCAGTGACCTCACAGCGGCTGAGGACAAGTTGACGTGGTTTACCTCTGTAGTTTCTGTAGGAAATCTAGATGGGGCGATCAAGGCTAAACTGCAGAAAAATGAAAATTAAGAATACAAAACATCCTGGGTAACCTTGATATCAGACATGTCGTGGCGTTATTTTCTGCTCTAGAAAGCGAAAACACAATGTACAACGCAATAACCCGATATATCATCAGTCTGTAGTTTGAAAAGAGGCGAGGGGCTAAAGACTTTTATTACTATTCTGGAAACTGAGCATACAATGTTAAACGCGTAATATCGTCAGTCTTGAGTACAAGAAGAGGTGAGGGGGTGAAAGAGCTTTATCTCTGCGCTAGATACTGAATATACCAAAACAATGTGACAGTCCAATATGCTCAGTGTCACCCAAAGCCTGAGATCAGTGACACTTTGCTCATAGGTTATCAGTTTTCTGTAACGATAACCTCGACGGGTGTGACGGATCTAGATCTTGTATCGAACACATCATTGTAAAGCCTATAGAGTTTGACACTGTGTTTTGTAATTTCGTATTCATCACAGTATGTCAATATTTCTCCTCCATTATAATCTTTCTATGACGTGAGGTTTAGCCATTGAATGGTTCTGTGCGTTTAATTTTACTATTACTGCCTCTACCCCTTTATCCCTGGACAGGAGAATACGCGACCTGATTCAGCGTGATGGTATACAAGGATTGCATTGTTTTTTTTTTCTGCAGTGAGTGTGATGTGGCACCTGCGGTTTTTTTTTTATGTCAGACAGTGCACTTATTCATTCAGAAAAACCTGAATGATTCTCTTCAAAAGACAACCAAGAGACTATTCATCAGACTCAATGTAGCAGATACACTCCTCTTCTTGAGGAGAGTTACCAAGGATTCCGGTGTTTTATGACTAAAACTTTGATTGATTTTTGTTAAGATTTACCAGAGTTTAAATGTATAGTGATCAGCGTGCTTG